TCTCTCTGGACTCTCCCTGGTCTATCTCTGGTCTCTCTCTCTGGCCTCTCTCTGGGTTATCTGGTTTCACTCTGGTCTCATATGGTCTCTCTGGTATCTCACTGGTCTTGCTCTGGTTTTGCTCTCACGGATCTCTCTCTGGTCTCTTTCTGGTCTCTCTCTGTCTTTGGACCCTCTCTCCGGCCTCTGTCTTTCCACCATGTGTCCTTGTGTGTCTGGTATATCGTCTGCTGTCTCTCTGTGTATCTTGGAACTGTTTCATCTCCTCTTTTATATATATTTTATTCCTAAAATATGAACCCACAACTAGATCCTCGTCCTAAAGTTATTTCTCCAGGGTCTGATCCATGACCTGCAACTAAAACCCATTTATTTTGGTTGGTTTTAAACTGACAGTCATTAACAAATGGGTGAAGCTCTCATCACGGCAGCAGTAAATGGAGAAGATTGAAGTGGCTTTTGTCCATTGTGGAGCCAACCTTTCCTTTTAACGCCACAATAGTCTCTCTCTCAGACAAGCATTAGGGAATGATCTCCTAATTTCCCTGCTGCTACGACAGCCGCTGCTGGTCATTTATCTGTCCAAACCGTGAAAAGACCAGAAAAAATCTGAGTTTTTATCATAGAAGTGCCGTTTGGAAGCTGATGCTGAGACAACTTCAAATATCAAAGCTTAATCTTTACAAAAACAAAACAAATCCAACTGTTAGATTCCAATTGACGCAGATGGGAATACGTCGGGAGTGTTTTCCATCTGATAGAGAGAAGATTTAATTGGGTTTCTTTGACTGTTGTTGATGTATCGGCTTACCATAACTGCTCTGGATGAAATCGGCTAATTAAAAGGGACGCAGCTGTGACCGGAATGAAACGTGTGGGCTCTGATAATCTTTGAACTGGTAATCTGATGGTCTGGTCTGGTCTGGTCTGGTCTGGTCTGGTGGAGATGTGCGGCCATCTTGACACAGCTTTGCACATAAAAGTTTCTCCGTTGTGAGAGTAAAGCTGTGATAGAGACGTTGATCAAATGCATTTCAAAGTCTCTCGTCCTCTGATGGTGAAGTCTTTCCCTTGTTCAGAAACGGCTGGATTTAAGTCGTTTGGTCCATATGTTTACTATAAGATGCATATATTTAACACAGAGGTGGTGGACCGCAATTTTAGTTAAAAGATGTATTTTTGTTTTAAAGAATATACATTGAATTATTGTTTCTTTCCCCAAGTCTCTTGGTTAGAATATTTTGAAATGTAGGTTATGTTCAATTTATTTTAATTCAATGCAATTTATTTTTGTATTTCCTCTGATCATTATGTTGTGGTGCCACTTGCAGGTGAAAGACAGATCCCATCAGACCTCTGAAGCTCAGCAGAGCAGGGGCCTGGTTAGTTCTGTGATGGGAGACCTGTGGGAACAACAGGTGCCAAAGTGGGGCGGCTGCAGCTGTAAAGTGCCAAACAGAATGATACCCTATAAGCCTTCTTTGAGTGTCAAAAAAAAATACCTTTGCACTTTATAAAAACAAATTATGATTATTATGATCACAAAGTTTCGAGTCGGTCCAGCCTTATCTGTCACCTGCAGAATCCTATGGGACGAGACCTGTGGCACATTGCAGTGACTGAGATCAACGACTCTGTTCTTACATCATTCTCTGAGAGATGGAGAGAGTTTTACTTTGTAGAAATGTGTCGTTTCAACACTTCTAGTTTGATGTTTTGGAAATCCACCCAACTGTGAATAAATGTTTCTCCCGAAGGTTTGAAGTGGTTTTTTGGTTTGATTGAATGCACTTTGAAGGCACTTTTTCCCTTCTACCTTTTTGCATCCATTTTTGGCATAGAATCTCAAGGCAAGTTGATTTGTATAGGACTCTTCATATATAAGGCAAAGGGCTGAAAAAATAAATCTACAAACAATACAGGGCATTGAATCATGAATTATTCAGTTTTAGCACAGCGAAACAGAACTGTATTTAATGTGGAAAACAGACAAAACTGTTCCAGATTGTAGCTGCATACTGTATATCTGACACGCTGCCTCCTCTGGCTTAGTCCTGACTCTGGAGCCAAAATCGTGGTTGTAATGAAGGCACATGTACAGTATTCATGCCACGAGAGGCATTTGAGCAGCATATAGGGCCTAAAAACACACCAAAAAGAAAATAAATGTAATATGAAGAGGAGCTCGCACAGTTCTCTACAATTATACAGTCTCAAACAGTCACTGAGGTCCTGGTTTTCTCTCCTCCTCCTCATCCAGAATTTCTCCAGATGCCGGGGCTCGTATGTGCAGGGGACACGGCCAGAGTTGGTCATGAAACTTTTATGGACAGTGTGTGTGTGGTCTGAAGGGTTATACATGTTTAAACAGCAGAAGACTCCAGAAAACACTTCCCCAGGGCTGGATGCATGTTCTGCCTGTGGCCCCTGTCTCTGTCCCGACTCCTGCTGCTGTCCTTGTTTCTCCAAACTGCATTTCTTTCGGCTGCACATGTCTCTTTTCATTTGCTTCCTCTTTTCTAAGTAATCTTTATTTATATACCGCCTTTTCACTGCAGATCTGAGTCTCAAAGCGGTTTACAATTGTTATTTTTGGGCATTAGTCTCTCACTCCACACAGAGATGGGAGCGGGGCCAGTACAGGAGGCACATGCCAGAACTATTGGACATATTTTTAGTGGTAGGGGAAACCGGAGCACCCGGAGGAAACCTACGCAGACACGGGGAGAACATGCAAACTCCACTCAGAAAGGCCCTGGTCCGACCGGGATTCGAACCCAGGACCTTCTTGCTGAGAGGCGAGAGTGCTACCCACTCAGCCACCGTGCCGCCCTTTTCTGGTCTCTATACCTGAGAGTAAAAAGAGATTTATATATATTATGAGTATTGAATGTGGATAGAAGAACTATATATATATACGATTTTGACCCCTCAGTGTCTTAGTGTGACATAACTAGGGAGGCACCGTTACTGATACCAACTGCCAATCCCAGGGACCATTTCCAGGGGTATACCAGTGATCAAAACCAGTCACAGACAAATTTTAACCAATTCCAATGCAGATGTTTTGGGATTCTACTTGTGTGTGTCGGTATATGTCATTTTGACTATTCATTCTGTCCTAGTCCATCAACCACAGACCATATGATTGGTTGTTCATCGTTCACCTCAGATTTCATGTCTAACTTGTGTTAACTCCCGTCTATATCAATAGACACTATTGATATAGACGGGTTAAAGCTAAGTAACTTGTTTTTCAAAATCAACACGGCATACAGTTTCTCTTCATTCAAGTCCCATGAACGATACTCTCTCCTGGTGCAGATTTTTATTGTCATACAGTTCCTATGTTCAGTTTTGGATTTTTCCCAGTTTAATTTACATTCATTCTATTATGAAAGCATGTTATTTTCTTCACCACATGACATTATCATTGAGGTTCAGTCTTAGTCCCGCTTTGGTCCTGCTCTCTGGGTCTTGCTTTAGTCCAGTTTGTGTGTGGGGATGGCGTCTCTATGGGAACGCACACGGAGCCTTCTTATGTATTGGCCGAGTGCCTTCTTGTATCTCTCCTCTTTCTAATTTACTCTGCTCCACACCTCTGCCGCCTGGGACTGCCGGAGCTGGGTACACCTTCTCTAACTGCATATTTACACGTCTTAGCTTTAGACCTGTACAAGAGCTGAGACTGCATTCAAATATCTCCAACTCTTGGTTTTGTGAGGGCACAGAAATACATAGAGTGGATCAAAACAGTGAAAGATTGTTCTGGTTTTTAAAATGATTTCTGTTGAAGTAGTTTCCCGATCTATGGTTTTGATCCTTTCC